TTTAGATCATTGACATCAAAGCCAACTGTCTCTTTAATACGACGTATAGATAAATTCTGATTTGGAAAGAAAATGAATAACAGCACTATCATGTTAGAAGATTTTATAAAGGTGTGTACTGTTGGTGGCAACAGTGCTTTTTTCATTATCTTAAATTTCCCATCTAAGAAGCATGTCATCAACCATCTTTTTTACTGCGTCGTAATTTGTGTGCTAATAATTCCTACAGTATTTTTGAACGGAGTTTCAGTGCTGACTATCTTAAGGAACGTTCATTTAAAATCAAAGCCATGCTACTTCGTTGTTGTTATTCAGTCGATAGTTGATTTGTTCGTGGGAATCATATCTCTACCATTGTATGGGTTTATTGCAGCAAGTGAACTATTGAAGACTGCAAAATGCATTAATGTAAACATTGCAGAGTCTATAGCAATTATACCAATGGCAGTATCCTTTTTTTACTTGGTTTTACTGACTTTGGAAAGATACATGAGCATTCTACATCCTGTTGCTCATCGCTCACACGTTACAAATAAAATGATGTTAAAATTTCTTGGTTGTGTAACATTTATGGCCATTTTCATGGGACCTATCTTGAGAGCCACTTCCGAAAACATTCAGTCAACAACGAGCGCTGTGATAGTAATTATTTTTCTTGCATTCAATACATTTGCCTATATAAAAATTTTTTTGCGGTGAGAAATATGCAGTTTCCTAACGATGCTATTGGTGTTTGGTCAGAAGAAGAAAACGTATCGACTTTTGGAAGAAAACAAAGAAGATCGTTGCGTGAGAAAAAGCTTGCGAAATCTTGTGCACTTGTGGTTGCTACCAGTTATCTCTGTTATATGCCTTTTGCATTTTGTTTTATCTATTTCAGCGATGATCGCATGAATTTCAGAGTAGCGATGGGTTGGTGTGTGTTTTTACGTCGTTGCTAGCCTAACTCTAGCCTTAACTCTGTTGTTTTTACTTCTGGAAAAGACCATTATTGAGGACGGAAGCATTGAAATTGTTGAGAAATGTTGTGAGTAATTCATCCGACAACATTGCTTTTCACTAAATAAAACTGATTGGAAAATTATATATATATACGTATTTCGTAGCTAATACTGTAATAGAAACAGAAAACCAGGACGTTAAAACAATGCTCTGGAACATATATCCATCACGTAGCATTTTACGAAAGTATTATGTATATATAATAATGTATGACCACGCCTATATCAATTATCGGTAATTTTAAAAATAATAAATAATAATCAATTATCAGCATGTGTTTATACAGACAATGATTTGCCGGTTTCCTACCAATGCACGTTATACATTTGGGATATTCGTAGCAACATCGCAGCAACATGTATCAACTATTAACATCTTAATTTTTAATTAACTCTAGCCAGCAGAATTTCAGTAAATTGGCCCAACAAATTATAAGTAGTTTCTCAATAAGGTAAATTGCAATTCATTACAATTCACATGCATGCAGCTGAAACTTTTTTCTTAATTAAAATTTAGTATCAACTCATCTCACACGAAGTGGGATGAAAATTGGAAAGATGGAAAATGATAGTGTTTTTTATTCTATTATGTATTTTTTTTGTCACACTGTGTATATGCATCCAAGTTCACGCATATTATGACTGCGTGATATAATGCCCCTGCCTGGCTGAAATACATTGCCGTACATTTGTCACTGACACAAATATATAGCTCTATATATAGAGTGATGTATTGCCGATAAAATAAAAATGCATGGTCATCCCCAGTATAACTTGCAGTTCATTTGGCCACATATACCCATGCTTTAAGCAAATAAATAAATTATATGCTCATGACATTGCCCATAGCCTCATATATAGTATCAAATACATTTATTAGACGAGAGTTTTCATTTAAATGCTTAATTGGTATATAAAATCTACATTTGAAACTAAGCCAAACTTTGAATCATGCGTGGTAGCTACATACTAGATGAGCATACGTGCATTGAAACGAAGTTCCAAGAAAATGTAAAAATACACTGACACTGTTTTAAATGTAGTATAATTAATTTGGTGATAAAATTAAAAAAAAATAAAAACAAAACGCAATTAAAACCTTTATGCAGGAGCAATATATGTCTGTACACCGCCTTCACATTAGTACTGTAGTCTGTACCATACTACAATATAGCTACACTCGGCTGCCATGCCGACACTACGATCAAACAACATCGTATTATTAACTCAAGTCCAAGAAAGGAACTTAAAACAATTAAGACAACGATTGTGTGGAGATATTTTCTGGAGATACTTTCATTCTATTACAAAGTCGTTTGTTAATTAAAAAAACTTCTAGTTTGACAAACAAAGAACTTTGTCATCATATTTTGAATGAGTCTGAGACTGATGTGTTCTCACCTGCTATATATTTATGAATATAGTGAGATATATAGGGTCAACGAAATGGTCAACTTGTGCAAGCCGAGTTATACTCCTGCTCTCATTTTTGCCCTAGCTTGATTATTATCTCAAAAAATCTGTCGACTCGCAAATGAATATTATTAAGCTCGCGCATGCATGTATAGTTGATATTTTTTATTCAATTTATACGGCCAAAAACGATACATATATTTATTCTTTAGTGAATTCACTGCATGTTTTCGGTAAAAGTTGGCGCTTTGTGAAAGGAGAAATGAAAACATCATTAAGGACGTGGATATCGTTTTGTCTAGAGTGCAACTAATTTGTCTTAAGTTGATCGATATGCTCAGTACCTACGTATATACCTCTTGTCGTACGTGCAATAACAGTTTGTATGCATCAAAACGTATATCTCATGCATCATTCAGTTAAATAGCGGTAATTTGCCTCCACCCTTTTCTGTGCATAAATATTTGGATGGAATGTATTCATAAATATCGTTTTGTTTGACAGAAATAAAAGCGGCTAGGGAAGAACCATTACTCCTAGCCAAAATTATCCCAAAACGGCGTAAAGTTTAATGTGTCATTATTCAGATGCGGAACAGGTATGCAAAATTCATGGTTGGCAATATATCTATGCAAAAATAAATCACATTACATAAATAGCGTATTCCGCAGCACATTTCCTGGTTTGTTTAAGCCTTTGATATAGTTGCAGATTTTTGTGCCAAGTTTGGCAAACGGACAGTCCAGTCAGTATATTAATCAGTTTGTGTGTGCATGAAAGTTCATAAAATAAATACAACGAAGAAATTCATGTTCTCGTTAATATACACACACACACGTACAGTGTAGTTTCTGCAAAACCTACAATCATCCCGCATGATCGTAAGTCCCTTGTACTGTTAGAAGTAAAATCGATGAAATAATTATAAACCCGCCCAAGAGTCTAATTGCGAATAATAACTATAAACGGGCTGAATCATTCTGGTACATTCTTTCATGGAAAATCGTATAAATCGAATAAAGTAAAATAAATCGAACTAAGTTATATTTTGGGACTAATTAATATTTTTGGGTTGATCATGGCAAGAGAACAACAGACTATAAAAACGCATGCATCGTACATTGTAATGGGCATGGATTTCGATACACATACAGTCTCCAATGGGAGGAATTAAGGCGGTTTTCTACTAGGCGAAATTTTTCAATCGAACAAAATTTTTCGCTCGATTTTCTTTTCAATTGTGACCGGTAAAGGGAATCCGCTACGGTCGAATTCTCACACACGCGTGCCGCGTGCGTGACAATGCACTGGCGCTTTCTTTGTTAAATTTGAAGATTTCACAAACATATTTCTTGAGCAATATCTCTTCCCATCTTCATGCATGGGATGAGCATTACATTAATTATTCAAGTTATATTATTTTTTTAAAGATATGCATAATAGGTTTGATCAAGATCAGTAGTGTATGTCATGGTCAGTATAAAAGAAGGAAAATCGTAATGTTTATCCATGCATGCGCAGTGTGAAAAAGTATAACAGTGATTTCAAGAAGCCCATTGAAATGCAGTTTTTTTCTCAAGTTGGTACTGAGTTTTTTTCTCAAGTTGGTACTGAGCGGGAGAACTGCAATCCATCTCTTTTTAAGCATTTGAAATAAACGACAAAATTTTTAATTGCAAATATGTTTCGACTTAACTAAATCTTCAGTGGGAATGAATTAGTTATTTACATTATGAAATATATAAAGATGGCTTATAGTTAAGTCGAAACATGTTTGCAATTAAAAATGTTGTCGTTTATTTCAAATGCTTAATTACTCTTGTGCTATCCACTTCTCTTTTTCACTTTCGAGTACCGAACCTGTTGCTCTCTTGTTAATTGGCTTTTGTATTCTCTGTCATTGTATTTGTATTTATGGCGGGATAAAAGATCTGCTTGTTCTTACAACATACATAAAATATCACAGAAATTTTTGAGAAATTCAAAAGACATTTTAACTTTCAGCCGTCAGAAAAAGGTCTTATGGGAATACAATGATGAAACAACGTTGAATTATAGTTGTAAAATTTACCTCAAGACATGAACCTTAATTCCACGTTGAAACCACGCCTTTTTTATGTCTTTGAAACAATATCTGGAAAGCAACGTTGAAAAATCGTTGAAATTTGGTTGTCGACGTCGCGACGAGAGTTCGCCCTTAATTCAACGTTGAAACCGTGTCGTGTGCCCACTATAGGAAATGTCTCCCTGGTTCATTAATCACTGTATTTCTCAATCTGCTTTTTTTGGACAGCTGCATGCACGCGTGACCATGAACTAGCATTTTCCTTGTTAAATTTGAACATTTCACAAGCATATATTTCGAGCAGTATCTCTTCCCATCTTCATGGAATGAGCATTATATTAATCATTCAAGTGGGCGGTTTTATTATTTTTTTAAATATTTGCATAATAGGTTCGATCAAGATTGCATTAGCATACGCACCGACAAATGTCACGGTTATAAAAGAAGGAAAATGTAGTTTTTTCTCAAGTCGGTAGAACCTTCAGGGAGTCGGGAGAACTGCAATCCATCTCTTTTTCACTATGGATAATTCTCGAGTACCCGAACCGGTTGCTCTCTTTTTGGCTTTTGTATTTTCCGTCATTGTATTTTTTGGCGGAATCACAAATCTGCTTGTGCTTACAACACACATAAAGTATCACAAAAAGCTTTTAAGGGATTCAAAAGACATTTTAACTTTCAGCCTGGCAATTGGTGATTTTATCATGTCCGCTCTGGTGACTCCCTTACCTCTTTCCTCTGCCATAGAAAGGAAATGGACGACTGGTAGAAAAGGATGTGTTATTTATGGCCTAATCACCATGTGGATAGGCCTGTCTTCCATTCTTCAACTCACATGTATTTCCCTTGAGCGGTACTACACATTGTGTCGTATAAACGCTAACGGTATTTGCACAACACGAATTATTCAAATGATCGCTGGTTGCTGGTTGCTGGCCTTCGTTGCGAGTACGATGCCAATGTTTGGGTTCTCAGAATTCACTTTTGAAGGATTTGGCCTACACTGTTCGATTGTTTGGAAGAGTGCGCAAGTTTGGTACTGCTTATTTCTTCTGCTGTTCTTCTACGTTCTACCGATCACATCAATCGCGATCTCTTACGCCAAGATGTTCTCAGTCGTTCGCAAAATTTACCGCAACGCTGCAATTACGTGGGGGACTAATGCTCAAGCCACAAGAAAAAGTTATACCGCACAAGTAAAGTTTACCAAACAGCTAGTTGTTGTCACATGTGGGTTTATGATTGCTTGGACTCCGTACGCTGTCCTGTCGAGTGTTCTGGTACTAACCGACATCGAATTTGACAGTGGATGGCATGAGATGCCCGCTTTGTTCGCAAAGACATCAAATATATACAATCCTGTAATCTATTTTTTAATGTACAGACGTCTTCGTCGACACACCTCTATGATCTTTAATAAAACACTGAAAATTTTCCCTTCCTTAAGTTCCCGTTCCTCGGACCGTTGATTTCCGCTTCACTTTCCGCCATTTTACAAACAACTTTAAAAAACAGCTTGGGTTATTATCACGTAATTCGAGGACGCAAGACCATGCAAACCCATGGCTATGGCCATAATCGTATTACCGTAATCTTAATGTTATAAGTACCATAATCATAATATTATTACCCTTGTAATCATACTTTTATTTACTGCTAGTTTTACTGACTGTACTTACTGAAGTGCGGCATAAAGATACCTATTGCGATCAGGCTTGAAGATTTCGAAACATTTATAGGAAGGCATGCACTCTGCTGTCAGTATTGCATGAGAGTACTGAAATTATATAATTATTATAAAAGAAATTATTTTTTTCTTCTCCAGTATTAGATTCGGGAAAGGCATGCTAAAATTTCTATATCTTTGTAGTTTGTAAATAAACATAGCCAGTACCAGCCGGCGCCAAAAAAAGTTCCGCTGTTTGATTAATTATAGCCGCGAAAAAACAATAAATACCTCAGTTATCGTATAAACATTGCTGAATCCCGAAAAGGCCTAACTTAAATTTTGATGTATAACACGAGTATGCTCGTGTATCATTCGAGATATTAGAAAATCAATTTTAATACGCATTTTCTGCTAAAAAAACACAGGTGTAAAAGAAATCATTCTTATAACTGTCTCAAATTGTCGAAATTAACACCCTTAACCATTTAGAAAATAATCCTACATCGAGTGAAGTGTTAGAAATCGTCGATATACGAGGTATATCTCAAAAATAAAGTTTGCCTTTTTTGAATGAGATTCACTTTACTCTAGCTACGTCATTTTTATAGTTTTTTACCTACAGTAAAGCAAACGCCTGAATGTTTTTTGCGCAACCCAGTTGTTCGCGCAAACCACTGTTTTTTTTAATTACTCGCTGGCACATTTGCATAACACTAATGAAAGCCCGGGTTAATCGACAGAAAGCTCTGCACGTAGAAAATATACGCTGTTTATAAAAATATATGCTGTCTACAAATTGATTATTTAATATTTCATTCTGCATCAATTTCAAGAATATTGTGTATAAGCTCTTGTGTACGTTATTTAGTTTTTGGACTGCAAAGCTGTTATAATTTCAATAAATATCCATCGATTTATCTTACTAAACAATATAGAAACGTCTATAATAGAACCTCGCCAGTATTCTTCACAACAAAATTATATATTAGGGGGCATTCACCTGGCTGTCATATTGGCTTTATTTCATAAACACGCAAAAACGCACAAGTTTTAAAAAGTCTGCAAACGAGTTGCCGCAATTCTGCAAACAAGTTGTCAACTAGTTGTGTTCGCACTTATTGTACAATTTGTTCAGTTGAAAAAGTTTGCATTAAGTCCGTTGACTTTATCAGACTTGTTACAAGATTGTTCTGACAAGTCTGATACAGATTTGATATAACAATGTTGCTGCAAACTTAGCAACTCAAGATTGAAGCAATATTATCATAATTATTATCACGTTTGTACCAGACTTGTTTGAACAGGCTTGTAACAAGTCTTTTGATTCAATAAGTTTGTCACAACTTGTTAACAGGCCCTCCGATACTTGTCGACAGCTTGGGACAAGCAGTGCGAACACAACTTGTTGACAACTTATTTGCAGACTTGTTACAAGATGTGATGTTTTTACGCGTGTACTCATGATCGATACAGTTCCATGCCATGCACGTCGGCTTGCTACGCGGTACGGGGATTGCGGTGTCAATCATTGGTGGGCAGCCGCACTAGGCATTGATTGTTTTCAAGCATTATTCTCTCATGCCAATTTGTTTTACGGCATTACTATTAATATTCTAACTTTTTATTCCAAGAAACGTCTACCCCTGGCTTTAAGAAAAATAGAATATTCAAAAAGATTCTTCTAGTTTATAATTTTTGGATTTCTTGAACTGGAACCTATCCAATTAATCTTGTTCAATATGGCCGCTGTTGTTTCCAAAATGCTCGCCGGTGATAATAGTCGGGATGTATTACGGCGTACAGTCGTTACTCACGTCCACACTGACAGATGTTAGAGAAGATATGTGACCGCGTGAACAGATAAAAATTAAAAAATATTCTCTTTCAGGTTCTAGCATTTGTAAACAGAGGTCTCAGCTGGGGCAAAATTTACGAAAATCTTAATTTCGCGTAATCACAATTGAATAGAAAATCAAGCGAAAAATCTCGTTCGATCGACGATCGAAAGATTCAGCCCAGATTCAGCCATTACCAGATTTCATATAAACCACCTGCTTCGTGTTTAGTGCTTGTAACATGACGTATATCTCCACTTACCAGGCGAAATTCCAATATGGCGGCCATTGCGCCTCTTCGGTTTGTACAAAATAGAAAGGTAAAGTTTAAGTTTTAGACTGTTTTACTATGAAGTTTACCACAATTTCCTTTTAGCATTTTTCCCAAAAACCATTTCGCTCTTCTTATATAATATTTAGCTCCTGGTCCTATTACAAAATTACGTTGACGTTGCTGTCCAGTGTTGCCATTTTCATACGTCGAATATTCCTACGTATCCACGAAAAAATTCGCCATTTCTCAGTGAACTAAATGAGCCATCCTTTGACGGTAGTGCCACGGTACCGAGGAGGCGTTCAATTCCAGACTCCCTGTACCAGAAACCTGATATACCCGAGCAACTAATGAAGTATAATGAGTATAGGGACAGGATTGTCGTGGATAGTCCAGGTACAATGGTAATGGTGTATTTGTGAGTACATAGATCCGTGTGCTGCTTATTAATTCAGCCCTTCCGAGGTATTTTACGGTTGAGTGTATACCTTCATACATTGCAATTTTGCCCAGCAGTCCCATCTGATCAGTGATGACTGAAGGCTCTGCCTCATCCCTGTCACTTATAAGTTATAATAGAGATTAGATCAGCGCCAGTGGCTGGAAATATAACAGGTTTCATACCAGAAGTATAACTATTAATTGTTTTGTGTCCTCAAATTTTACCAAAATGTACACATGCATGCATATCACATTTGTTGGAATAAAGGTTTTCTTGTTATTTCTGTCATTTTAGACTTAGTAGTTAACTAGTTTTTAACTATTGCTTGAAATAAATTTAATAATAAATTTATTGTCAAATGAATATTTGTCTCCACATATTAGTGAAATAGATAACTGGGCAGAGAGCATGAAATCACACAATCAACACTTTTACATCTGAGATAGACATCTGTCTATTGTTAATCAGAGAAAGATGTGCATGTTTCGCCTTTAGTATTATGTTTCTGAGTACAGCTGTTTATTTTATAGCTAGAATAACCTATACTTATTTTCTAGGAGGAATGCTTTCAACATATGCCCCAATTACAAAAAAATCATCAATATTTACTATTGAGGTACTTCAACAAAATTTTTTAAAAAAATAAAAATAAATATCGCATATGGAACAGGCCATACCAACAGAGATATATACAACTTTGTTGTAGCTCACTCTCAACACAGGTGTTTTCTAGAACTCCTTGTCTGAAGTATCCACAAAATAGCACATACAAAATTTATTTACCACCATATGTGACACTTTACACTACACTTTTACATACATAAAAAACATAACATAACATATAGTGGCATATATATTTATAATAGGGTTGGAAACAGAGGTGGAAATCATTTAAGGATGGTATTATTTCAACTTACAGGTAAAATAAATGCTTTTGTAATTCTACAATGAATACATTGCAAGCATGATCGAACTACCTAAGAGTCTCTGAATGAAAGACTATAACCTTTGTTGCATTATTATTTTACCATACTTGGAAGCTTTATTCATCATACTAATTGTATCCCATATTATTATATTTTATATTTTATTGATTAGTATTGGGATAATAAAAAGATCAGTCAAACCCTTTAAAGTTAGGGAGTTTGCCAAAGAAGCTGAAAATACATTTATTGATGTTAATACCTGTCTTGCGAAGTAAGTTAATTAGTAAGGAACATGCATAGATCTTTTTTCGTGACGTTTGCTGCTAAAGATCCCCATTTCTATACGAAATCAACTTCTATATGAAATTACAACTTCAACTGAATTTCAGAGAAATTTTGACCGATGATAGCCATATCTTAAGTGGAATTGAAAAGTTCACAATTCTTTTTCGACTTGAATCCATTGCTTCCAAAAAGTATAAAAGCTTGGCCACAACGATGCATAAAATTCAAATGATCAGAAAAAATATAATAGTTTTGTATAAGTGACATTTTTTCAAAGAAAACGGGAAATAATTTGCTCAGCATTACATTACAAATTGTCGGCGCATAACCAATAAAGATTATTACCACAGTTATCGCAGTAGGAGTAGCCTGTGTGTCATTATGAATCATTAGAGGTTTTCAATCTGATATGCGTATTTCATTTTCTGATCATAGCGGTGATAAAACTGGTCTTCAAGAAAAGACATCTTTAACTGCGTATTATGTAAGTCAAACGCTCAAAAGTTTAAATAAATTAGCTTGTGGGTACACCACGTAAGTATCTAAATGAATCATAATCCACTTTTTGAATAGTAATAAATTTTAATTTATGATTAAAATCATATAAACTCTAATCGGACTAATCCTGTAAAAATGTCCAACTGTTGTCTACTCTGTGTGTTTAGGGTTTTGTCAAAGAATTTTTCGATGCGAAGAAAAAATTTCACTGGCATTTCGTCTCATCGGTCGAGCGCCCTCGTATAGTGCATGCGGCAGTATCATCTCTAGAAGTGAAAGAAAATCTCTTCGCCCAAGTAGTTGTACGCTTAAATATTGATCAAGTAAGTTGCTAAACTGCCGCTTCAATAACGGAGTTTGTACTCGGATTGGATAATATATAGAGTAAAAAAGTACCGTCTTTAAAACCAAGAACACAAGGTTGAAACGTACGTCAAGAGTCTGAAGACGTTTTCTTGCATGCAAGTCATTTGGTGACCCTATCTATTCCGTCATGCTTGCAGCAACGGCAATGCAGCAACGGCAATGTTGAAACCTTGCCCTGGGACTATTCCTAATTATTTGCTCAATATTCATTAGATATCAGCAGTTGAAGACAGAAACGGACGTATAATAACGGGAGACAAGAACAAGCCTCGAGAAATATTGGAGTTCGTAGTTTTAGAAAGACACCTGGCTAATGAACATGGCTCGTGGAAAATTTGTGGTAAACTTTATCCAAGACACTGAGATAATAAGAATGGATCTCTGAACCTTAATATACGTCTATTTGGCTAAGATAGAAATGGTTGGGGGGTTAGCTTGATAGCTCAAGTTTAGTCAAATGAGAATGCAAAAACCTGCCTGTAACGAGTGTAATCAATGCACCTTTTCGGTAATACGTCACAAAGATGCAAAACATCCTTCTTCAACACATGCATGAAAAAGAATTTTTCATTTTGACAAATTAGTATGAAATAAGCCATAACGCGAGAACGAGGTTCGCGGTCTTGGCCCCTGAGCCTCGTTCTCGTGCTATGGCTTATTGCATCTTTGCACGTGGCTAGTGAGAGTAAAACTTGAAATCTATATCATTTAAGGTGGTTCTACATTTAAAACGTTATGACGTCATTACCAAAAAGGTCTATTTATATTCTACGAATTTGTGGTATAAAGTGATGTTCGCGTGTTAAAAGAATATGCCTTTCTTAGACTGAACCTATTAGGCTCTTTTAATGAGTACTTATGGAAGAGTTCATTTATCGATAAGCAGAGACAGGAATAAATCAGATTTAACATATTTGTAAATTTATTCATAATAAAAGGAAAGGTGATTCAGTTTGGCAACACGGTATTAATTTATCTCCCTCTCCGCCATCTTCCGTCTCCTTATAATTAAAAGGAGTGAGGGCAGATTATGTCACACTTGACAGAATACTCATGCAGCTTTTAACACACACCCTTTTCACGGTCAGATAATTTACATGCTTTCACGGCATATATAGTAGCAGCTATATCCGGTACGAAACCTAAAATGTCAAACTATTTTTGCAGTGGATTTACAACGAAATAGATTTCTTTATAGAACTATACATAACTATTATATTCACCCAATATTAATTTCGGGTTCAATGTCGCACCCTGTCACTAGGAGTTTTATATACCGTGATTAACTAACATGTCGTCCGATTCGTTGGGTTCCGTCAACCCCCCTGATGGAGAAGAGGCACTCCCATTCTCGAGACATTTCTTTGAGTCGCTGTAGTAGAAGCAACTTTCTTCGTCCGGACTTCTTGCTTGATCGTCACCAGTCAATCTGACGAAATTCTCCCGAGGTTGTGTTATCGTTAGTTCGAACACACTGGTACGATTCTTGCTTTGGTTGGCGTAATCTTTGGAGTTTGCCAGGTACTCGGAGCGACCAATTATCTTGAGGAGGATTTTGCGAAAAGACCGACGGTAAACTTTATCGAAGCAGGCGTAAATAATCGGGTTAAAAAAACTGTTGGCAAACGGCAGTAGACCGAAAAACACCATTCTTACCACTTCGGCTGAATTTGTTTCAAGTTTTCCTAAAATTTGTGGCTGATACTGATCTATTTGGAACAAGACGAAGAATGGTCCCCAGCATACCACGAACGTGGTAACGACTATGAATAATGTCCGGGTGGCTTTCAAATCTTTGTAAGCAGAGTAGTGAAGTTGTTTACCGGAGACTGGGTCCACCATTGTAACGGCATTCTCTTTCTTGAAGTGGTATAACGCAATACGAAATATTAAAGTGTACATGATTATAAGCACTAGCAATGGGAGGAAGAATGCTACTACGGCTGCCATCGTATAAAACATCTTGTTCAAGTTTAAGCAAATACCGTTTCCTCTAGTGTTATTCCTTTTGCGTCTCCGAATGGAACAAGCCCGAGTGATGCTAGCAACGCCGCCAGGGCCCATATGGCAACGATTGTTATGACAGCAACCGTTTTTGTCATTCTCTCTCGATAGACGAAAGGGCGGCTGATTTTGAAATAACGGTCAATACTGATAACCGTTAGTGTATAGATGGACGCTGCTTCGCAGAATATGTCAATCCAATTCCAAAATCTGCAAACGTGGATATTAAGGATGCCTCCACCTTGAAGATCATCACCACGGACCGCAAACAACGATAGGAGACGAATGGTGACGCTGAAACAAGCAACGAGAATGTCCGAGACCGCGAGGCAAGCTACAAAGTAGTTTGTGACTGTTCTCAAACGACTGTCGTAGAACACAGCCGCCAGGACAAGGAGGTTTCCCAATACAGTAGCTACGATCGTTATCATAAAGAACACGATTTGGATGTCGGTAAGGTTTAAAAGATCATTTGTGCTATTTCGTACACTTGCATTTGTAAGATTTGCCATTTTTACTCAGTCTGGTCTGACGTCTCTTCTCTATGTCGAGTTGATAGCTAATTAACTGTTGTGAAGAATCCGTTGTTCAAAAATTAGACCATTCTTTGCGTGTGACAGTCTTATACGATCTTTTATATTTCTGCACCTGCGAGCTTATTATTATTCATCTCATTCTTTTGCTTGTTCCCATAGACGTATAAGGATATTTGCGATTAAAACAAACATTTCCAATTCACAATTCACGCAGATTATATCAATCTTGATGTTGTATTGCCCATCGGAGGTACAACTATATGGAAAATTAAATTTTAAGATAAGACAGCATTATTCATATAAATCATCATGCATACTCGTAAGTTTAATTAAACGAAACGCAGGAAGATTAGTGGCATGAATACGGTCTCCCCATCCTGGGAAGTGGGAACGAGCTTACCCTGTTACCCCAAAACGCATCTACCAAGATTAATAAATCATCCGAGGAAGACGTTGACTTTACCTAATCAGGCTAACCTTGATTACTTTTGGCGTGCATTACATGATGCCTAATATTTTAAGAGCAAACGAATGAAGGACATTTCCGCTTGTTTCCAAATTGAATAATAAAACAAGAAATATCATTTTACTTTATAATGTGTTGCGAAGCAGTTTACTCGTGCTCCGCCCCGATTGAAATTGTCAGAGAATAATTTGTTTATGAAGTTGGAGATCTCGGCTTATGAACTGATGCAAAATTTTCATTCTAAAAAATGTTTTTTCATTCATTTTTGTTCCTCTCTACTCAAAAACAAACAAAGTGAAAATCAAACAATGTCAAGTACTCTGGATTGATTTTTCAATATAATTCCTTGATCATATCCAATTAATATTCACATTACTGTATTGATTGATTCTTGTGAAGCCCACAGCTGGATCCTATGGCATTAATGGCAAATGGTTATTAATATCAGTTCATATTTGTGCACGATAAATTCTCTTTCTAACACCGTGATGCATATGAGTTCATAAATTATCAACAATTTTGCATTGTATTATATGAATAGTTCAGTTAAATTCTCCCGATTGAGTTGTTAAATTTATTTATGAATAATATCTGAAACTTCCTTAGGGCCTACATGGAATGGCAAAATGACGAAAATAAATAAAACTACACACTAGCATGTACTATTTTATACGTGTTTATTGAGTTATATCTTGACCTCATAAAATAGCCACATGTAGGTTGGGTAATCATGCAGTCTTGCATGTACTGTATATGAGGTTAAAAACATTTTATCCTCGGGCCAGTTGCTTAAAGTTAGCGCTATAACTCTAGGTTAAATTTTATTCTGTTGTTTTGGTTTATGTGCTTCTACACTGCTGTTATAACTTTAATATACCTTTAAAATACTCATGGAAAAATATTCCACTTTTATAAACAAGCGATAAAAAATAGATTAAAAGATTTGCGCTAACCCTGGGTTTAGTTAACCGTCTTTAGAAAATCTGGTCCCATGTAGTATAATATCTATAGCTAATGAAAAGGCACTGAATATAGCTGATATTACAGAAGCCTCGTTGTACCGTCATGAATACTCTTATCTTCTCTAAACAGTTTTCGTGTGCGTACGCGTACGTTAAGTAACGGATTTTATAATTGAAAATTTTAGTCGGTGTCCATTCATCTTTCGTCGGCCAGCCAAATGGCAAATGCATGTACGATTGTAGCGATAAGCTACATATGCATCTGTGGAAATTATTCTTAGGATCAATATCTGAGCTTTTTTCGTTTAGTATTTATATATCATATATAGAGCTATATGCATGTAAATTGGAGTTGTCCTTTATATATTTATAAGATAACTGCATGTTGTCAGGCATCATAACTATTCCAACGCAAGTCAATGATGATTATAAACCCGGCCGCGTTCGTTTTGATTGTATTAACATGCGTTAACACAACACAGATATGAATGTGGTAAATTATTTGGGAAAATAATTTCCCTGTTAATTTTAATGAAACTATATCTGTTACTGACTTCAACCTCGTAGAGAAACAATCTTTCCTGGTCTTTACTGGTCCTTAGACCTTACCCAGTTTCAGGCAATATTTGTTTTAAAAGAAAGAAGTGAATATTGCATGAGCCAATCCTAGAGATTCAAACAAACTCTTCCTCAAATCATTCTCTATGCATGCATGATATGCATCGAATGTTATCTACAATACTTGCCGTTGATCATCAACGCCAACGGAGAGAACTGAGATTCTAAAGGCCGTCGGTTTTCCACTTCAACCGTATCGTAGCAAAACGTAGCGTATCTCATTGTTTAAAGTCATTAGTTCTGATCGAATACTTCGGAAACAAAGAAATACGCAAAGCAAGGCTACGATACGGTTGAAGTAGAAAACAGGCCTAACTCATTCATTCAGTAGGAACGTATCAGTGTCACACTCAGTAAGTATATACGAGTGTTGTTTGTTTGATAAATTTAAAGAAAAATACTGATACAAGTTCTATATCTATCGTATGGCACATAATAAATCAGTTACAAGACAAATACGCTCGGTCCGTACTAAAAAATGGTCAGACTGGTTCTTCCAAGAACTCGGTTTGATTTCCGCCAAGTCACGAGCTTCTATAATCCGTAATAATTAGTAGTTCTTGTTATAGTTATCTTTCTTACCTGCCCTCCCAAGTCTACACCACAACACGTCCCCGGTATAACATTCAGTAGTTTTTAAATTATTATTATATATATATTCGCCTGCGCAAATGGGACTGTTCAGTATGATGAAATTGTGAATATATTGTTTGATAATTGGATACATGCAATACACAGATTTGCCGCATCACTTCAGTTGTCATCGGTTTCTTCAATGGGCATAATTGCGTTCAATTGTCTTCCTATTCAAGCTGGCTAGTTCAATGTTGACAAAGATATATTATATCATATACGTTGGTTTAAGGCTCAAATTTGAACAAACAACGAGGCTTTAATTTGGTTTCTTTGTTTTAATTCAGTAAACTTTATCAGGATCACCAGGATTTGAGGCACCACGTTCCCAGAATATTTACCAGCTTCCTGCACGCGGTTTATGTGGTAGCAAGAAAAATATTAATAATAGTGATTGTATGCATGTAGTTTGTGCCAAATGAAGTACTTTTTAAAAAGGTCTGGAACTGAAAATTCAGCTATCATTCTCTCGCAACGCGTGGAGCAGGTAGATAGAAGATCCAAATCTGTAGATGAAGAATCTAATTTTCTACTGTAGCAATTTCAATTGTTAAGTGTCAGCCGTCAGGGTAAAATTATTTTCAATTTAAATTAAATTTTCATCAATAATTACACAAAGGATTTCAGTATAGTCTGATTAGCTCGTTCAATTATTTGGTGTATTGGAATTTCTATATACAATGCAAACGTGCTTCAGAAAATGTTGAGTGATTAAATTAAG